CTCCCCTCCTTTCTTTCATGTGTGATAGGATTTTTATTTTACGTTTTTTGATTTCAGTACGCATAGCATGGTAGCAAGTATACTTTTATAGTTGAATGAAGGATTTATCTATTACTTTTGGAACATACCTTTCGCGATTCATTAGTTGTAAATAGACAGCTATATCAATGAGTGATCTGATATCTACTAAAACTAAGTCTATGTCTCTATTTAATATTATTTGATTTATCTCAAGCAGAGTTTATCTTTCTTGTTTGCATGCACCACAGTGGTAGAAAATATGACATCTTGTTTCAATATCAGGCTCGCTCATTGGTAAATGGTCAAATTTGATCGTCCGCTCATAGACAACCTATAGCTTGATTTCAGGTTGTTGAGCTTTGATACTATGATTGGTTTTTCAACATAAATTTTCCGACGGAATATTTGTCAACACTTGGATGAATATCCGAATAAACTTTACCTGCTTTACCCGTGATCCAGCGTTGCTGCCATTATAAAATGTATCTGTAACTTAGTGATAAGGCTTCTGAGTAGATATATCGAATGTTTTCAATATTGAGTTTTTCCCAGTAAAATTCAAATGTCTCCAACCTTAAAATGCAATTGACTTTGGTCATGTTAAGCCTTATTACTAGTTTTTTCTTGATGTGCTCAGTTTCTCGATGTACTCACAAATTCTCTCATAATCAAAAGTTAATAACGGCTAAAAGGACTAATTTAAGGTTTTCTTTAATAATGAAGTTGCGCATAGGTCAACATGGCTTCCTGACCTGCGGAACCTCTTTTATGATTTTCGGTTTACTGGATGCCTGCACTAATGAAAACGACAAAATTCTATCACTCACTAAGAGAGATTTTCTTCACATACCGTGCCTGATTAAAAGAATACAATATCGAATTTTACTGTGCAAAATAGCGACATTACAAAAAGCCTTGCGAAGTGGCTACATAATCTTTAGTGTAAGTAAAGAGTATTTCTAAATCATAAGTAGTATTTTCTAAATCTCCTGATCCTTCTGCAGGTTATGTAATATATGGAAGACTACAAACTTGGTGTCTCATCAAATCCATAGTCTAAATCCCAAAATGAGTCACAATATCGATGAAAACTAATTTGACCGTGGCTGTGTGGGACGGATAACTGATTATTTTTCATAAATGCAGTTAAAATTAACGGCGACGATATATTCTGTGAATATGACATATATTCTCGTACAGTTTCACATTCAATTGAATTAGGTATTTTACAACGAAAATCAGATAATTTTACTTTACATAACTAAAATGTTCGTCGTGTTCACTATAACGACAGTCGGGCTTTAGATTACCCAATGTTGATGCCAATAAGCATGTTTGCTCCGTTTCCGAACATCGAAAACGATTTTTCATGGCGAATATTGAACAGTTTAGTTTATTATCTTCATGGACAATCAACAACTCCATCTCTCAATCGATACATTGAAATATATCGATGAGAATTGCGACATCGGTACGATCTATTAACACTCAGTCCAGTCCAGCATGTTTTATCGTTCAGGTCTCGCAATGATTATAGAATTTCTCGGAAGCACATTGCCTTGATAGCCGACACATTTGATACTATGACTGATCGTAATATCTAGAGCATAGGATGAATCGAATTTGCCAGCATGTATATATGTGTTCAAATAAGGTTTTAGAATAGGTCTAACAGGATATTTTACCACTTTTCCAAATTGTAAACCGGTATCTGGACAATAATCGAAAACTAAATCTAAACAGTTATCAGTACAGTTACATACGTCAGTTAATATACATTGTGTGTACAATGAACACAATTTATTTCGAGTTGTATTTGGTGCAATTGTAAAATTATCATCATATAATATACAGTTTCCGTTTTCCATAGTCCACATATGTCTGTGATAATCTTTTTCACACAAAAAATTTCGATCACGAAAACTAACGCAATAATAATCTTGACGCGATTTATCGTATCTTATTTCTCCATCTATAAATTCGCCATCGCCACACGAAAAATATTGATTATGAAACAGCGTTTCATCGCAACCGAATGCATCGTATCTAAACGGACATTCTTTTGATTCGTCAACATTGTTTATCATTTGCTCATCCGTGCTATCCATACAATCACGATTGCCTAAACTCATAAACACAGTCCGTTTGTCCATATTGGTTTGAGAGAAAAAAAGAATTAAGCAAGCAACCTTTGGATTTGAACTGAACGTCTTCCGAATAAAGATATCCAGAATAGACTATCGCGGCGAGTGATTTATACCTATTTGAACTGCTACAAGTGACTTTAAACTTGAACTGTTACTAACTGACTTTAAAAAGCCTTTGATAACGTTAATCATGAATGTTTACTGTTGACAAAAAAGGTGTAAGGGGTAAAGCTTTAAAGTGGATAGAAGATTATCTGAAAGATCGTACTATTCAGACTTTGCTTGACGGTAAAATGTCTCAGAAACGGCTGGTCACAAAAGGAGTGCCACAAGGATCAATCCTTAGTTTATATAGACGATCTACTAAACAATATAGAAAGTACTATGAGATTATTTCCGGACGATGTAATTTTAATAAATCATGAGGATGATCCTCTAAATTGTGCGCTAAAGTTAAATAGAGATTTAGTTAGAATACAAGAGTAATCAGAGAAATGGCATATTCCTTTAAATCAGGCTAAGTGTGAAGCAATAACTTTTAGTTCGCGTTATTATAGCAAGAAAGCATCAACCTTACCATCCTTGATGTTATACGGTGCTCCGATTACGCAAAAAGATGTAGTTAAATACTTAGATATGTTTTTACGAGTGACATGTCGTGGACATATCACATTGAGAAGGTGCATTCTAAGGCATCGTCTATTGTAGGATTAATGAAACTGCATAAGCATTTATTGACTAAAAATGCACTTGAAATTATTTTTAAATCTTGTGTACTATCAATTTTGAACTACGGTGCTGTCATTTACTCATTGACTACATCGAGTAATTTGAATACACAAGAACTTAATCTTTCTCATGGGAAAATTGATGTTTGCCGCAAGAACTTTCTCGTCCTTCCTAAACAAATTCCACTTTAAAAAAGTTTCAGAATGATATAATGGGAATTATATTCTCGATTTCGTTCTGGTTCAAGATTAAAGCTTAAACAAAAACAAAACACAAAAACACAATAAAAAATACACATTGAAGGATAACATCGAGTCATTGCACAACTTCAATCATTGTGCAGAATATAGGAAAGAACAGCGAAGTTGATTTTTGCAGTTCGTCTGCAAAGATCAAGTTCGTGTGTTCGATCCTAGCTTCGTGCAAGGATTGATTTTGTGTTTTGATAGTTTAAGTTTCAGAATGATATAATGGGAATTTATATTCTCGATTTCGTTCTGGTTCAAGATTAAAGCTTAAACCAATTCCACTTTCTACACAAGAACTTCATATTTTTTCGTGAGGAAGTCCAAGTTTCTTCACAATAACTTGATCGTTTTTCCTCAATAAATCGATGTTGTTTCACAAGAACTTCATTCCCGTAGTAACAGGTTTTCTAAAAGAGATTCAGCCTTTTTCCTCAATAAATCGATGAATCTCCAGAAGAACTTCAGCGTTTTTCCTCAAGGACTTCATCAAGCAATCCCTTTTTCTACAAAATTTTTTTTACCATAATCGATGTTTCTCCACAAGAAGTTCATATCTTTTCCTTCGGAAGTCGATGTTTCTCCAGATTAACTTCAAGTTCATTCCTGAAAATTCTCGGTTTCTACAATAATTGTTGAATCGGTTTCTACAAATAATTGTTGAAATTTATTATCATTAGAAAAATAATCTGTGACGTTCCTTTGTTCGTGTGACTGAATAATGAACCTATTCAAAAACTGTAAATTGGCGAAAATTCAGAACTTCATATGTTTTCCAAAAGAAATCCGTGCTTCTGAACAAGAACTTCGGCTTATTTCCTGAGGAAATCCATATTTCTGCACAAGAACTTCCTCCACGTTCCTAAAAAAATTATACTTTCTTCACAAGAACTTTATCTTTTCTCGTAAGGAGGTCCATGTTTCATCACACGAACTTGATCGTTTTTTCTCAAGAAATTCAGTTAATCAACTCAACAAAGAACTTCATCTTCATGCCTCAAGAATTGTGTGCTTCTAGACAAGAACTTCATCTTTTACAATCACCAGTGGAACTGCAGCGTTTTTCCACAAGAACTTCATCAAGCAATCCCTTTTCCTACACAAGAACTTTATCTTCATTCCTGAAGATATCGCTGTTTCCACACACGAACTTCAAGTTTTTCATTGAAGAAATCGATGTTCCTCCACAAGAACTTCATATTCATTCCTGAAACAATCCCTTTTTCCACCTAAGAAATTAATGTTTTTTCCATAGTCGATGTTCTCACAAGAACGTCAGCGTTTTTCCTCAAGAACTTCATCTTCATTTCTGAAGCAATCCCTTTTCTACATAAGAAATTCATCTTTTTCCCTGCGGCATGCGGTGTTTCTCACAAGAACTTCATCTTCATTCCTCAAGATATCGATTTTTTCATAATCGATGTTTCTCCACAAGAAGTTCATCTGTTTTCCGGAAGAAATCCGTGCTTCTAAACAAGAACTTCACCTTATTTCCTTAGGAAACTGATGTTTCTCACAAGAACTTCCTCCGCCATCCTAAAGAAACTCCATTTTCTACACAACAACCTCATCTTTTTTCTTGATGATGACTCTACAAGTACTTCATCTTCATTCCTGAAGCCAACCCTTTTTCTACGCAAGAAATTGATCTTTTTTCCATCGTCGATGTTTCTCCTAATAACTTCCTCCTCCTTCTTAGAGAAATTTTACTTTCTACACAAGAACTTCACCTTTTTTCCTGAGTTAAGCAATGTTTCTCCACAAGAACTTCAAGAATCTTCATTTCTGTAGTAATCTCTTTCTCTAATCAAATGATTCAGCCTTTTCCCTTAATAAATCGATGAATCTCCAGAAGAACTTCAGGGTTTTTCCTCAAGAACTTCATCTTCGTTCCTCAAGCAATCCCTTTTTCTACACAAGAAGTCCAACTTTTTTCCTGGGACAAGCGATGTTTCTCACAAGAACTTTAGTAACAGATATGAACGTAATAACCAATCGGTTATAATAATTCAATTTTCTAATAAAATAGCGGTTATAAAAATTTTAAATTCTTGCCCACATCTCTTAAACAATGAAATGTTAGATGTTTTAACATCTTATCGTTCATGTCATATTAGTGATGATATATTACTCAGTAAACTATATATAGTTATACAGTAAACTATATGTATACATATCAGGTGTTAATAAAAGATTTGATGAAAAACAATTACATCTATATTTTGGACAATATTAAAACATCAAGAAATCTTTTATAACAGAGATATGTACTTTTTTTAAGAGTATTTTATAAATACATTCTTTTAGGGAGCAGTGGAATTAATACTTAATCAAGGAGTTTGTGTTTCATTTTTCTTTTGAACTGTTTACTTCAGTTTTCTCAAATAGAACAATCTAAAAACAGTCGATTTGAACGTGAACAGAGTATTTTTTAACTACCTACCTAGTTAATTTGGTAAAACAATTGCTCTCTTTCATGCTCCTCTTTGCTTTAGAAAATCTGGCACTCCGATTTTATTTTATGAGTATTCTAGTAACGATAAATGTCATCTTAATAGGTTGTATCACCTCAATGTGTTCTTTTGATAGTTCGTTGCTGATAGTCGCTTGCGATTGTCATTCCCCATTTCGATATTTCTGTTCTCTTCTATCATTCTACACTTGACTGCTACTAGCGATAGATAGTCTTTACACTTTAAATACGCGAATTATGAAACTTAGATAAACACCTTCTGTTTCTTCAAACGACTTTACATCATTATAAACCGAGCATGAAACAGCCACCACGACCAATATTTATAAGAGAAGTGCATATGTTCGTTCTCTCCAAGAACAGAAACTAAAACCGCATAAAAGGGCCTGAAAA